CGTTGCAGGGTCCCATATGAGATGCATAAGGATCGCAAATCAACTATACCTACACAACCAAGCAAAAAGAGCTTTCTTTTATGCATGTGTCGTGCGTCGTGTCGTGTCTTTAGTACACCCTATGTAGCACATGTTCATACATATACGTACATGTTTATCATGGCATATGTTATGACCATGCAGCTTCTGTGGGTTTTACCCGTACAGCGGTAAGAGAACACAAAGAACAACATATATCGATCGACAGAGGTGATTCTCGTTGTTTGTGATCATTTTTGACCTTTCAACCTCAAGTTTACCTTGAATTTGGCCCTATGCCTGGAAAATTAGAGCAGAAATGGACTCCCTGTCACAGAAAACTCCTCGAAAACGATGTCAAACGACCCTCCAAGTCATCGAGAGAAAAACTTTGAAATTAAACCAAAATTCAAAATGACAATGACCACCATCTTTGATCCTGAGAAATGCTCAAAATTGCACAAGTAATAATTAAGCTGATTTGGATCTGCTAGCCACATATAGTATATTTTACATACATTACATACATACATATACATACATATAGTACACCAAATTGGGTCTTGGGTGCTTTCTATTTAAATGGAGGGCCCTACACACTTGTCGCGGCCCCATCTGTTCACATGCTCGGGTACACTGGATTGTTTGGGGTCTCTGCACATTGGGTATCTCAATGTAGGGCTCTACGCTCCTGTCGGGGGGTTGTTTGATAGCTTGCTGGAGTACCCCGATCCATTGCGGGCTCCCCACACTGTGTCTCGGGTATTTCTTATTTGAATGGGAGCCCTACGCTCCTGTCGGGGGCCTGTCTGATAACCTGCTCGGGCACACTCGATTGTTCAGGGGCGCCCCTCATTGTGTCTTGGACGCCTACTATTTGAATGGAGGACCCTACGCATTTGTCGGGGCCCCTCTGTTCGCCCCCTCGGTTAAACTGGATTGTTCGGGGACGCTGTAATTAGCACGTGGTGTTTGAATTTAGGGCCCTACGCTCCCTTCGGGGGCTATTTGACAATCTCCTCGGGTGCACTCCATCTTTCGGGCGTTCTCCATACCGAGTTTTGAGTACTTCTTATTTGAATTCTTCTTATTTGAACTTTATTAGGTATAGTTGACTCGCGATCCTTATGCATCTCATATGGGACCCTGCAACGTCAACTACCGCGAGCGAATTTTGCACATTTGTGAGAATTCAAGTTGGTGGCGGTCGCCATTTTGAATGATGCCCCAAAATTACTTCTGGATTGGTCTGGATTCAGCGAACTGCAGCTGCACCGCCGAAAAAAAGACATACAGCGACGCACCCTGCAGCTGGAATAGCCACAGCGCATGCCTTTGGCGTACAGACTTCTGCAAGTGTTAAGGAGAAATCGTATGTTAGGGCCGTTGCGCGGGCAAACATGGACATCGAAGAGACAACGTAGGGAGCTCGATATCCTCAGTGATGATGACAATGAAACGGAAGAATGTGGTAGAGTACTCGCTGGTATTACTGCGCTCAAGGCCCGTTAAGATGTCACGGCAATGTGCGTGAACGGTCTTCGTTGAGTTTGATGCTTTAACTCTGACTTGGCGTTGAATCAGACATCGCAGCCCAAAAAGAAGTCCAGACATGGAGTCGGTGCGTATGATAACCCTCATAAGGGATATTACACGACCATTTATGTCGCCCAGATCAATATGAGGAAATCAATAATCATTCAAGATGGTGGTGTTGGCTATCCTGAATTCCAAGAAATACTCAAGGTCGCACAACCAGCAACCAAGCTAATTTAGCTTTCCTTAGTGAATGCAAGATATTTCCGTGACAACAGCTTGAGGTAGCTAACATTACAGGGCAGCGGCGGATCCAGAGCGGGGGGGGGAGACACGCCATGCCCCCATTGGGCTCCGAAGGGGCGCATTGGCTCCGAGTTGGCCCATAGCCGGCCGAACGTGCGCAGTTTTTCAACACAAAACTTAATAAAACTGGGTATCCCTGGACTTCTAAACGGCCAGGAACATTTGTAAGCGAAAGTGAACGGTCTATGAGAAGTCGTAAAAAATCATTTAATGATTGGAAAGTTGTGAACTGGAAATTTTAGGCCACATGACGTTATCTAGGGGCCCCATGCTGTTTCCGGGGAGCTATACGTTCACTTGCAGGATCATTTCAATCGTTAAAGAGCATTCCACGTTGCCCTTCATTTCATTGCATTTGCTCGGA